ATTCGATTTTCGATATTTTTTCTATATTTTTTATCATTATTAATAAATTTTATACTGTGTACAGTTAGAATTTCCTTGAAAAATACATATGAACATCCTAAGCGAGAATATAGAAAAGAACAACGAGAGATTTGAAACTTAGAAATTCGATTTAAAATACTTATAGCTAATGGGTACCGTAATAGTTAAGTACGTTCATTATCCTTGTGGATAAATTATATCTATTAATACTGCGTCTGAAGAGTTTATTTTTAATTTTGTTTTAGTTGATAGAATTTCATAATTTCTACATTTTCTAGTCAGATTTTATGGATACTTTTAGTATGTGATGTTATAAGTTTGATGTGTCTATGTGTGTGACTGTCTGTGGCATCGTAGCTCCCTAACGGATGAACCGATTTTGATTTTGTATTTTTTTTGTTTGAAAGGTGAATTAGTCGGGAGTGTTAAATATATTAATAATGTAATAAATTATATTAATCTTACCAATATAACGTCGGGAACCAAAAATCAAAATAAGTCCGCGAAAGTCCAAGCAGATAGTTTTATTTAAAATATAATAACTCTTGCAGTTCTTTCAGCTAGATAAGAATATTTTAAGTTTAAGTAGTTTAAAAGATCTAAGCGAACAGACAGCGGAAGCGACTTCATTTTATACTTATGTAGAAAAAACTAAAGATGATGCCCTAACACTCTAACCAGTTTGATAAGTCATGCCTGAAGCCTCTACGATAAATAGAGATAGTATATTTTTATCTCAGTGTATGTCATTTCGTTCTAATAAATATTTCATTAATTCTATGAAAATTCAAATAATAAAAAAATAAATATACTTCTATTATGAATACTAATGTTTGTATTTAACACTGCAACAGCTAGACTGATTGGGATAAAATTAATTACACAGATAATGATTTGGAGTAACATATTTATGCTACATTGATTTATATAATTTGCCAAAAGGTAGCGCTGCTTGTATATATGCGTAAGTCATAAGTATTGACATAATCTATACATATAATAAAATTCTAACTAAGCCGAATCTGTACTTTAAATATTTTTTGGAAAATCCTATTAAAATAAACATTATTGTCGATACAGAGGCCGAATCTATACTTTTTAGATTTTTTATTTGTATGTCTGTCTGTTACCGCAGCACGGAAAACCACTGGAAGTATTTTGATGAAATTTGGTATGGTGATACTTGGTTATCCAGGTCAACATACAGGATACTTTTTACCATGGGAAAATATCTCATTTCTGAAAAAAAAAATACAAAAACTGCAATGTAAGAGTATACTAATATGTAAAACCTAGTAATTTGGTTTTTGATCATCTGAACGCAGGCGGGGCCGCAGGCAATGCTAGTAAATAATACTTTTTTAGATTTACGCGAATATTTGAAATTTTAGATAAAAAATTGTCTGTAACAAGTATGTAAATATATAACGCCTTTGAGACGTCTAAAACCTTAGCCTCTCCCATGACCATGATTGTTGTACAGCATTCGAAACGACGAGAACCAAAAACCAAATAAAACCGCGAAATAATTATAAATGTTTAATTACGCTCGTAGAATGCAAAGTAGTTTGAATTTAACCTTATATTTTTAGTGAAGCTATCATTTTTTTAAAAGAAACGTGAAGAAAAACATGCATTAAACATGAAAGCGTGTATTGAGCCTGCTTAGCTCGCCCTCTTTGACCTGCCTCTATGTAGGTGACCTGCCTATTCACTACACACAGTATTGACTTACAAGACACAACATCTTGACTCGTTTTACAGATACGCATGCAAAACAATTCATTGTACTATTTACGAGTAGCATTCCCATTGTTTGTTTCTACTTAGTGAATTTTTAATTCAATCTCGTTTTAATATAGCTTGTGGTGAGAGTGGATCATCAAAATTGTACTTTTACATTGTTAATTGTATTGAATATTTAATTTAAATATGATATAACTCTAAGAAATATAAATAGTTACACTTAGATGAATAAGTAATGGGAAAAACAATTTTTTCCGATTTTTTTGTAATTTTTATATGTTCATGGCGTATATTCATCATTTTAATATAATAAATTAAAGCTATTTTTTTCTCTGCATGATTTAATACCTCTCACTTATGTAAAAGTGGCCGCAATGGAAAGAAAAGAAGGAAAGAATATAATATTACACATCATTTGTCAGACAATTACAACGCTTACCATGGCAAAGATAGATTAAGTGAAAGAGAGTTAGCGCGTTAGTTAACTGTTTGTTGCTCTGTATAGTATTAAATTTCCTCAGCCACAGCTCTCTTTATTGGCTCCATGTTTTTTTCTTTATATGCAAATCAGTATTGTATGTAGCCCTTTTTTTAACGTCCCACTGCTAGGCACGGAAGATCCTTCAATACGAGGAGGATCGGGCCATAGTCCAACACGCTGGCCAAGGAGGTACGGATTGGCGGACTTCACATGTCCTACGAAAATTTGTTAGATTCTCTCAGACATGCAGGTTTCCTCATGATGTTTACCTTCACCGTTTATCAAGTGGTGATCATATTGATAATGATTCGCACATGAAAATATCAGAGGTCTGAGACCCGGGATTTGAATCGGCTTTACTCGATTTCACAAGCGAGCGAGTTACCACTGCGCTACCACTGTCTTCACCACATTGCATTACATAATTATATTGTTTTTTGTAACGTATATATCAATTACAATAAAATATGTCATGGTGTACGGGAGATGTATGCGTGGCGGGTACGAGTGTCAAAGCGACGTCAGTTAACCAGCGATGATGAATTACAAGCATCTGAATCCTAATTACAGTCAAACCCATAAATTAGATACGACAACTGACAATATGGCGTAATGTAACAGTGAAGTTCTGGCACTCGTCTGGCATCAAGGTTTGATACCTCTGGGGGTAAATTTTTCAAACTAACATTAAATGGTTTTAAATAAAAGAATATTTATAAATTTTTTATTTAAACCCATTTTATGACAGTATTTTCTGTCAGTAAAGAAGCTAAATAGTGGTGCTGAGAACAGACATTGATTTTGCCAGTTACTTTTTGTTGTTTAAAAATGAATCAAAAACGAATGGTAGTTTGTTGATAGAGATTACTATATTTTTAATATATCTCTTTTTCAGTAGAACCTGTGCCAAAAAGTTTAATAATTAACTTTTGACACCTATACCCGTGGTATTTTTTTCTTTTGTTGGAATAAAAAGTAAGTTAAGTAAAAATTAAGTGGAAGAGGAGTGGAAATCTTTTTAAAATCAGTTAAAGTGTTTTTCTATAATCCATCCCAAGATTACTATTTTAATATCACGGTATTTATTTTTATACGTACTTATTAATTGATTTCTTCTTCAAAATCACAGTGTCTAAATTCATCAACTTAAATAACATCAAAGATTTTTTAAAGTACATTATATGTCACTATAATAACGTTCATTTTAATTTTATTTCATATCCAAGCTATTCTTTTGTTGGAAAATTGATAGTTAAAGAATAAATATTTTTCAATTTTCTGAGATTTCTCTACTCAATTAATTTTATCCGCTTCATTGCGGTAAAAATTAAATTATGGTTGTTTTATATATTTTATTTGCTTCACTTTATCTTTGTTTTCGTTTTTCTAAATAATACATATAAATCAGACGCTGGAATATAATAAAAATAAACAGAACTTAAGAATAAAATTTTATTAAAGCTAAAGAAATAAAATAAATAAATGAGTGCGTGTAAATGTGCACATTTAGAGCAACAATATCAGCAATATTTATTAAACAATAAGTTCAAGGAACTTTGGGTACAGTATCTGGAAATTATGTGTGATAATGCCCACCTTTGAAGAGACCTGTGATATCATGGATTTACCTACCTAATAACAAGGTAGTTATCCATTTCCAAGTCAGCACGTCTACATACATGAGTGTCCACTGACCTGGTAGTTGGTTGTTAGATATAGTTGGACACGGTAGGTAACGTTGTTATCACGATCCAGATATTTTCGATTTTTCTGCCATGCTGAGCGACGCGAGGTCTTGGTCGGCGATGATCTCTTTTGTGAGACCGTCATCTCACTCAAGGAGACGGTGGAAAGGCTAACGCTTTAACAGACCCTCTGCAGCACCGTCGGCATCCTGATTTAGGGTAGGTAGCCCGCGTGGTTTGTGTCGTCCGCAGGGATATTGTACTGTGTTCGCAAGTGATCCTTTAATGCTCCATTGCACTGCGACAACGGGAAGCCCAGGAAGTATATAGTTAAAATGTACCTAGGCACGAACCCGAGCGAAGCGACGGTGAGTGGCTAGTTTTTTCATAAATTGAACTTTTTATAGTCAAGTCGAAGTCAAAATTCTTATTGACAACAAAATGATTTTTACATAATAATAGAAATTCGGCGAAACCTTCATATTTATAAACATTTCTTCAGAACACACGGCATGCAATAAACATATGTTACCGCATTTAAATAACCATCCATCAAAACCTCAAATTATGATTGAATTGAAAACTTCTATAAGCAGGTTTGTTTGAATGGGGAGTAAATTCGTGTAAGTCGACATCGACATGGTCACGCTAACACTCAGAGTGCCGATAGATGTCAAAACCAGATAAATGTAAACAGTTTTAATTTACAAATTTTAATTTACGATCAAACAATTAATTTGAATATCCAAAATTAACAACTGTTTGTTTATAGTTTTAGGTTTTCACTTTTGTCGGCAGTCCTCATGACTGCTTTTTTTGATCGCACATTTACTTATAAATAACCTCAGGCACACAGACAGCCACCACTGCTTTGCGCAGTAGTTATATTTTGAATCTTATCTATATTATTGCCAAAGCCATAATATAAATAATAATGCGACGGGTCATGCACCTAAAATAATCAACGCTTTAAATAAAACGAGGATTAATGTATTAAATTCATTCTTGATCAGAAGTTTCGAACAGTAACTCTATTTGCAAGGTATAGGATATTAACTAAAATAAACATGGAACGTTGGGTCGGTAAAGTTGTCATAGTGACGGGAGCTAGCTCAGGTATCGGCGCCGAAATGGCTGTGCGTCTAGCCGACCTGGGCCTTATAGTGATTGGTATGGCCAGAAGAAAACATTTAATCGATGTGAGTATAACATTTTTAATTAGCGACTCATTTCTCGCTTTGTTCAGGTTCGTCCTTAGATACGTTTAACGGTTAGTATGGAGTAGATAGTGGGTCCCTTGCTCCGTGAAAAAAAAACAAATCTATCCCACGGGAACCATAAATATTTCCGGGGTAAAAAGTAAACTACGAATATGTGCTATTCCAGACTATAACCCTTTTTTTATTTTATTTTTTTTAATTTAAATTTGATAATCTTAAAAATTATAACTATAAGATGTTCTCCTGACCGATTTCGGCCACGGCGGCCAATCTCATTGAGACTAGCCAACTGCGCAGGAGATATTATAGTGCACAAGTGTACGCGCAGACACAATTACACTCTCTATTCCTGTCACTCATACTCTGGTGGGACGACCACTCGACACGACCAGTGAGAGTTAAGGCGTAGGACCGACAGCTTTACATGCTCTCCGAGGCACGGGGGTGAAACACCGCCAACTTCCCAACTCCGGGCTGTGACTGAGGCTTACTATACAGAAGACTCAATAACTAAACCTGGCCCGACCCGGGACTCGAACCCAGGACCTCCGGGTGTGCAGCCGTACATACTAGCCACTACACCACTGAGGCAGTCATCAGTGTTGCCATTATTATATTTATAACCATAAAGAAAAAATATAATTTGTTCTATCTGTAATTTAAAAAAGTTAAAGTTAATTAAGAACAATAATTTTAATTTACTTTGCTATAATTTAAAAAGACAAATCACTAAGCAACACTATTACTATATACAATATACAAATGAAAAATAATTAAAAAATATTGTAAGGTATTTTTTGATGCAATTTTTATTTTATCATTTGTGGGTAGGCTGTCTGTAACAACTATACCTTCGAGACATCTAACACCTCAGTCTCTCCCGTGACCATGATTGCTGTAAAACATTTGAAACGTCGGGAACCAAAAGTCTAAATAAATCCACGAAATAATCCGAAAAGATAGTTTTATTTTAAATGTCAAATATTCGCGTAAATCTAAGAAAGTATTACTAAATTAATTATTTATTTCGCATACGTTTACTTAAGAAAATTAAGAAAGGAGCATAAGTTTTTTGGTGATATGACCCAAATGAAAGTGTAATTTAACCGATGAGAGACCGATAATAAATTTCATTTATTATCGGATATGATAATAGATTATAATTACTTAAGATTATTATTAGTAATATACTACCCATAATAATCTAGATCTAAGAGATTATGAGATAAAATTTAATCTTTAGCAAAAATATTTATAGGATTAAAGTAAGTTGCATTGTATGTACGCATGCGCATGTGCGTGTGTGTGTTGGTTACTCCTTCAAACTGAAATGGCTGGATGGACTTGTATGAAATTGAGTACACAGGGAGTATAAACTGAAATAATATATTAGTTACTGTTAAGCACCTAGGGATTAATCCGAGCGAAGCGTGCATATATACCTAGGTCTATATTAAAATTGTTACCTACAAAAATATAAGGAGCTTTTTCAGTAACTTGAGCTTACCTTAACGTCTTTACAGAAAATTGCTGAGAAAGTGACCGGTAAAGGCAAAATTTATTCGAAACAAGTAGATCTATCCAAAAGCAGCGAAATAAGAGAAGCATTTGAATGGATCGAACAGAAGTTCGGAGGTGCTGATATCCTTGTCAACAATGCTGCTTATTTACCCGTTGGATACATTACTGGTATTACACAAATGAATATGTAACTGTAGAATATTATTTTGACTTAGCTTCAACTATAACTGGTAAGAAAAAGTAAAATAAAATTATATCAAAAATGATGTCGCGAAATTTATCAGTATTACACAAAAATATAATATTTAAAATATGTAGCTATATAACAAGTTTTATGTCTTATAAAATTATTGTGTAATGTAATAAATTGTTGGGCTTGATTTAATTTAAAGTTTATTTTCTTCTTTTTAGACCATTTAAATAAAAGCTTGTTTTTAACATCTTTTTTTTACATTGCTTTAGCTATACTTGACTGGTATAATATAGTAATAATTATAATACTTGAAACCACTTTTATATATGATATAACAAATTGCCATTCTAGTTATTAGATCTTAATGAGATGATAATGGCTGATGAAAAAGTGAATTGCTAAAATGATGTCAAGAATTACTCAAATTTTTCTTTCAGCCTAAACAATGTTATTACAGTTTTATTTGAAATTAAGTTTTAGGACTTGAAAAAAATGAAAAAAATGGAAAAAAAATAATTTTAATTATTATTTAAATGTATGTATAATACATCTTTTTAATACTTAAACAATATCCACACTTATTTCTTAATAGAAAAAAAATCTAATCGAAACATTCATTTGTGTCTTATGCTTTTTTTTAAGATATTGGAGACAAGCCTGAAGTCAATGACGAAGAAATAAAACTGGCAGTTGATGTAAACGTCACTGGTATATTTTTAGCTTCACGTCTAGCAGTCAAGAATATGAGGAAAAGGGGGGTTGCTGGACACATTGTTAACATAAACAGGTATATTTTTATATTTATGTTATTACTTAAGATTGGTTCTTTTTACAGGAAAAATATAAAAAATCAATACTTCTTATTTTACATTGTCTAAAATTTCATACAGTTTCTTTTCTAACGAAAAGATATAAACTTAATAATCTGATATATGTTCTTATATCTACTGAACCGATTTAGATGAAATTTGGTATGAAGATAGTTTAAGAACCTGGGAAGGACATACTTTTTATCTCGGAAATCATCCCTTAAGGGGGTGAATATAGGGATGAAAGTTTGTGTAGGGAAACAACTTAGGGATGAACCCGAGCAAAGCGACGGTGAGTCGCTAGTCAGATATAATATAGTTACAAAACATATTTATTTATTTTTTATTTATTTATTTAAATAGGAAGCCAACGTTGTATACAATAATATTTCTTATTCTAGAGCATACTCTTATGTATCTGTGATAGAAATTGTAAACCTCACTTACAGGCTAACTCAACATGCATAATATATAAAGAAAAACGGAAAACAATACAAAACATTCTTTGAAATTAGTAATTTTAAAAACTTACATAACTAAAAAATGATACAAAATAAACATAAAAATAAAGACCGCTAAAAAATTATAAACTACTAAAATGTAAATAAACAATACGAACTATAAAATATTTCATTGTGAGATTAAAAAATAAATAAAACAAAACAAAAAATTAAAACAAATTATGCATAAAACATTAAAAACTATAAGAGGCAATTCTATGTGGTGAACATTTTTTTAAATTGTCGCTTAAAAGATGAAGCTGATTGTTGGAAAATATCCAAACCTGCTTTTATAAATACGTTGTTATATGTAATGATTACTCCTAGCAAATCGTTGTTTAAAAGTTTGCTTATTTTTAATGTGACTTCTAGCATTATGCCTTGGTACTGCTAATCTTACTCTATTTAACAAATTTGGACTATCGATACCTCAATTTATAATTTTATGTAAAAAACAAATTTTCACGCGATTTCTACAACTAACTGAAAAGTATGAGTTATAAATTTAGTAAAATCCTATTTTACTCAAATTTTCGAGCAAAATATTTATTTCCTAAAGCTTTATCTGCGGTAGATGTAGATAACTTATATAAATAATAATTAGTCACGTTTTAACGGCTAGTATGCAATAGATAGACTATATATTATACGATGTATAATAATAGCCTTCCTCAATAAACAGGCTATCTACTGCAAAAAGAATTTTTCAAATGGAATTACTAGTTCCTGAGATCGTTTAAACAAACTCTGCCTCTTTATAATATTAGTATAGATTAAAATGCTATGAACATTTCAGTGTGTGTGGCCACTATGTGGCTCACTACGGAACTGCGAGCGTATACGGAGCGACCAAACACACAATCGCTCCATTCACCCATGCTCTTATCAACGAACTTGCCAAATTTAACAGCAAAATCAAAGTTACGGTAAGATTATATAAGAGAAGTTCATATCTAGATTTAAACACTGAACCTGCTATGTATGTCAAAAGAATTAGAAACTAAAAATTATAAAAAAAAACTTTAGTCCTATTATAGTACTAATTCTACTAATACTGTATATGTATGTACGTGTGACAAGTTTTATTGGAAGACATAACATATATATTATATAGGTATGTGTTTCAGTATTCAGCCCTTTTTTTAACGTCACACTGCTGGGCACAGGTTTTCCTTCAGTACGATGGGAATCAGGCAACAGTCCACCACGCTGGCCAAGTGCGGGTTGGCGGACTTCACATGTCTTTTGAAAAGTTGCTAGGTTCTCTCAGACATGCAGGTTTCCTCACGATGTTTTCCTTCATCGTTAAAACAAGTGGTAATCATGTTGGAAATGATTCGCACATGAAAATATCAGAGGTGCTAGACCCGGGATTTGAACCCGCTTCACTCGGTTTCCCAAACGAGCTCGGACTTTCAGAGTATTTTAAATAAAACTATTTTTGCGAATTAATTCTAATTTTTGGTTTCCAACAGACCGATAGTATTAAAGACGGTGCCAACAAAATGATAAAATAATTTTAAAGAAAAGAGAAATGGTATCGAAGACAATTTTGAGATAATATTATGTTATTTTCAGAGCCTTTCTCCTGGTGTCGTCAACACGGCAATGCTTCCCAGTGAACTAGTGAATGCGCCTCGGCTCGAGTGCTCAGAGGTCGTCGACGCCCTCATATACGTCCTCTCCACGCCACCTACTGTTCAAGTATGTTATGCTCCAACTAACTATACTTCTATACTTAGTTATATATAAAATATTAAAGCTATGAATATTTATCAAAAAGTTTCTTGGGAATGTAACAAATATCTTAATAAATTTCATCAAATGTTATGATGGAAAGTCCATTTGACTCCAATAATTCAGGTCGAGTTTCTCGCTCTGGGCGATATAAAATGCGGATGATAGTTATTGTTAAAACACAATTGCTATAACTCATATCCATACTAATATTATAAATGTAAAAGTGTGTTTGTTTGTTTGTTTGTTTGTTTGTTTGTCTGTCCTTTTTTCACATCAAAACAGACTGATTGGCGTGATTTTTTGTATGGAGATAGTTGAAAGGCTAAAGAGTGACATATGTTACGTTTTACCATTGGAGATTATCTCATTCACATGGGAAAATACGTTATAATACAACCCCAAAAAAATATTTTTAATCAGAATGACTTGAAATTGGTATTAATGCACTTCAATACAATTAAATAAATACATATATATTTTTTATATATTTTTTGGACATTAACACACAGCGCCATTTAGTTCCATGGTAAGCTACGAGGCCTGTGTTATGGATACCAGATAGTTGATACACTACACATATATAACTTTAAATACATACATATTATTATAAATATGACCATGACCGGAGTACAAACATTCGTGCTCATCACGCAAATGAATGCCCCTAGCGGGATTTGAACTCGCGACCGCTGGCACAGCAAGTAAGGTCATTACAAACTGAGCCAAACGTGTCGTTAAATATTGAACATATTTTAGCATTTTTCGAAATTCATCCCATACGAGGGTAAAGCAGGGCATGAAAGTTTATATGAAATCTACATTTTTAAAGCTTTTTTGTAGTTTTAGCGTGAGCGAACATACATAACATTCATTTAAAAAATACTTTCGTTCTTAAATATAACGTTCATTTGATTTAGAGATGTTTTTCTAATTTTTAATAAGGCTTGTTTGATAAAGTTATCTTAATATCACATTTTATTTTTATGAATAAACTAGAAAAATCATTTGTATAATATCGAACCCCAGACCACCAACGTTATCTATGCAGGAATAGTTGAGAGACATGAATTGAAAGACAATTCATATAAATAAACAAAAAAATAATTTTAAAATAGTATTTTCATTAATTTCTTTGTTTTATTTTAGATCTACGAATTGGGACTTAAGGCAGTCGGTGAAGGACTTTTGTAAATAAGTAACAAATTACTAATCTTTATTTAATGGAATAAACTACTTATCACTAAAATGATGTATTTTAAATGAAAATGACCTCCTAATATCAATTAGAAGTATTTTGACAACTAAATATAACTAAATATATATTTGATGGCAGTTCGTTCGTTCGTGAGAAAATGTGTATTTAGCTGAAGTAAATATTCAGCAGCGAATTTTTAACAAGATTAATAGAAAAATTAACTAACAGTTTCAAAAACGAAATGCATAACAATTATTCACTTTTAGTAGATTAATAATACTTATTTATATGTATAATCAACCGACTTTAAAAAAAGAGGAGGTTCTCAATTCGACTGTCTTTTCTTTTTTTTATGTTTGTTACATCAGAACTCCGTCATTTATTAACCGATTTGGATAGTTTTTGTGTTGTTTGAAAGTGTATACTTCCAGATTGGTCCCATTTAAATTTCAAGAAAAAAATACCACCCCTAAGGGTGGAAAAATAGCTAATAATGAATTTAACCTATTTCTAATTGTCATATTGACTTGAAACTTTGCAAGTGTTTCTATTTCCATTGATAGTACAGTGGTTCGGTATTGTTGACCTGATCTGATGGTAAGGCCAGAAGGTGGATAGGTAGAACTCATTAACGGCTAATAGTAGATACCTTGAGTTTGGGCTTATTTTGTTTGATTTGAGAAGCCTAACACAGAATTCTTACTTTGCTACTACTATCTACACTAAAAAGGGAAAAATAAAAACTTAAAAAAAAAAGTCGGTGTGCTTTGGCTAAGTAATAAAAGCCTACCTATTAAATACATACCTAATCAAATATTTTCGAAATCGGTGCCAGCCCATACAAAGCAAAGCACACCGACTTCAAAAATATTTGATTACATGTATAGCAAATAATAACTCCCAATCAGTTATTTTTTACTTTTTAGTGCTTTTGTTTTTAAGAAATGTTTTTTTTACCAACTACAAAGAAGAAGGAGGCACTTAATTACTGATAAATAAAGTTTTAACATTTAGTATACATAGATAACCTAAGATAATCTTACATTTTTCTGGCATAAAAAGTAATATAAGTACTATACCAGACTATAATCTATTTCTGTGCTAAATTTCATCTAGATCCGTTCAGCCTTTCTACAAAAATCCATCCATAATACTTTCTTAGATTTACGCGAATAATTTGACATTTTAAATAACTACCTTTTCGGATTGATTTTGATTTTTGGTTCCCGACATTTCGAATACTTTACAGCGCACGTGGTCACGGGAGAGACTAAGGTTTCAGACATCTCAAAGATAATGGTAATATACTTATATTATAATGATAATGGTAATATACTTATATATTACAGACAGTGCCTACCCACAATTTTACAAAATGATTACAAACATTCAAAGCTGATCCAAAGTACCTCACAATATTTTTGATTTTAATTCTAAACATTTTTTTTAATAAGTATTTTTTTTTATTTATTTTTGGTTGTTATTATTATGATTATCACAATTATTTAAAAAAACTTTATTAGTTAATAATATTATTTAGTGTTGCTATTATTATAATATGTATAAACATAAAGAAAATTAAAAATATTAGTTTAGATTGCTATTATTTGAAGTTTAAATATTAAGCAACACTATTGCTACCTTTATAGATAAAATATGTACACGTTGTCACATGAACTAACTACGTCCTTCCTTCCTATCCTGGAGCGATAAGGGTTTTATTTCGGCGGTTTTTGTGGACTATCAAAGCGAATGTAGTGGCTTGGGCTATCCTGACTATGTTTACAGACAGCAGCTGATGTGAAGCACGGTTGTAATACAATATTTGAATGCTAATTACAGCCAAATCCATAAATGAGATACGACAAATGACAATATGGCGTGACAGTGAAGGTAGCGCGGTCTGGTACGAGGTCATACGTTTGTAATCTGTGTGGGGTAAATTTTTTAAACTCATCACTAAAATTTTCTTTAAAACCGTTTTTTAAATCAATAATTTAAAAATTTCAATATTTTCTATCCGTAAAGAAGTTAAATATTGCTGTTGAGAAGAGACATCGATAAATTTGCCAGATTTTTGTTTTTTGTTTGAAAATGATTCAACAGAGAATGGTGGTTTGTGTGATAGAGAGTATTATATTTTTAATAGTGACTCTTTCACTAGACCTGTGCCAAAAAGTTTGATATTTAACTATTGACACCTCACCCTGCTCTCTCCTTTTGTTCGATCGTCCTTCCGGCTAGTCGGAGTATCGTTTGAGTCAGTTGAAGTGTTTTTCTATAATTTATCACAAGATTACTATTTTAATATTATCACAGTGAAATATTTATTTATATGTATAAATCAAATAATATTTGATTTTTTGAACAAAATTCATGGCTAAAGTTCTTAAGTTCAATATTATCTCAGTTTTTCAAAAAGTACATTATATACGTTAATAAATTTCATATTCATATAATTTTCTATCGAAGATACTATTTTGTAAGAAAATTAATAAAGTATTATTCTTTTTCAATTCTCTAAGATTTTTATCCGCTTCAATGCGGTGTAACTGTGTAAAGGAAGATAAAATTATGGCTGTTTTATATATTTTATTTGCTTCACTTTGTCTTTGTTTTTTCTAAATAAAAGTTTAAGATGCTGAATAAATTGAGATGATATATAAAATTAATTTTATTACTATTAAACATCGATCAAAAACGTACTAGAAACTCAATCAGCTACAAAAATATGTCCTCACCAAATGAGCATCTTCTTGAACATTTTAGCGCGCTTTTAATTTAGTAGCATTCGAACACTCCGATTGCAAACATGCCTCAGTACATGTTTAGAAATTGCAAAAATTACACATATGATACGCTAAAAAAAAGAATGGAGTCTCACATTATTTTCGGTATCAATATTGTCAATATACTCGTAATTATTATTACTATATTATAAATACTGATATTCGAAAATATCTGATTAGGTATCTATTCTAAATGAAAACCCCCGTTTAGTTATTTTTTACATTTTAGTGCCTGGAAGTCAGTTTTTTTTAAGTTTTTATTTAACATCTGTAAATATGAACGTTACTATTGAATATTGACATACTCGTGAGTTGTTTGTCAACCAATATCTTCAAATTTTTGACACAAATAAATAATTATGACTACTATAATATAGTATTTGGTATATTAGTTTCATTAATAAATAAATGTAGTGCCCTATCCAAAAACATGTTTACATTCACTTAAATTATATTCATTACACATATACACTATAGAATAGAATAAAATATGCTTTACTATATTATTTTTATACATTAAACTTAACATAATTAAAAAAATACCATTTATAATTATAATACAAACAATAAAATATAGGACAATTCAACTCCACTCATTACTTGTCCTAACGGCGAGCTTCCGTCGTAAAAATTAATTTTCATACATAGTTTTGTGAAAACAACTGTAAGCAATGCATATAAGGTTGAATTTACATTGTTGTATATTTATTTCAACTAGAATAATTACCTAAACACCATTGGTGACAGTTTTAAGAGGACTTTTGCATGGAATTGTGCATCTAGTATTTTTTGATCGATGTACCTAATTAAAGCTAAAATATAAATAAAAAAGTATAAAAAATGGTAAGTATATAATATAAAAATAGAAAATTTGCAATTTCAGAATTAGATATCAATAGTTTCTGAATTACAAGTGCACTGGCGTTACCTATATTACATATGTACATAATCTATTACTTGGCTTCAAGAAGTTATATATTAGTAGATTCGTCGCGAATTCGAGTCCCGCTGGAGACATTCATTTGTGTGATGAGCACGAATGTTTGTACTCCAGTCATGGTTGTTTATATTTATAATATGTATTTATTTAAAGTTATATATGTGTAATTTATCAAATATCTGGTATCCATAACACAAGCCTCGTAGCTTACCATGGAACTAGATGGTGCTGTGTTAGTTTCCCAATATATTTATAACTTAGTTTTCCATTCTAATACAGAGTGGGAGTCTTGTAATATTAATAGTAATAATATAGGTACTTTATTGCATACCTAAAAGAAATATAAAAACACAACACAACGAAAATATGAACAGCAGGCAGTCTTGTTCAACGGTTGTAATCAAAAACACAATTACTCTCGCAAGCAAAACCACAGGCTTTAGTTAGTTTCAAATCCAATTTGTCAAGCATTATATTAAAACATGTAAAAAGTTTCCATTCATTTCTCGGATAATAATATTAGAATTGACAATGCTAGTAGTTTATACATGAATAGTTTGAACAATATTCCTCGAAAAAACCTTTTATACTCCACATTTTTTATTAGATTTTTTTGTGAAAAGAAAATATATTACAAACCTATCAAAATGGAAAGTTTTGATTTGTTGATAATATATTTTCTTTTCAGAAAAAACATCGGATGAGGACAAGTCTACATCACACGTGCCGGGATCCGTAGTATGGAATATTAAAACAATATGTTTTAACACACATAATTTATAATGTTAAAAATAAAGAATTTACCTAGCTACACTTTTATCATTGTTATTATTGTTTTTGTATTGCATAGTATTTCTATGAGGAAGAAAATTATTTTTGGCTACGGAACCCTAAAACTATAGATTCAGAAAAGTTTTTATTCGCTTGGACCACAATTTTTAGAGAATATTTGATTTAAAATAAATGCTTCCTAGAAGTAACTTCCCAGTAACCTAGAAGATAATATTTAGTATACTGTGGTGACACAAATAGACACATAAATAATCACTTTTTAAATTTCTATAATAATATTATAAACATTTTTTTGAAGTTATACTTCTTTGGCGTAACTAATAAATATAGGTAGCTAAAGATATACTCCCGTATGTCACAACTCTGTTTATAAAAGGGATGCAGCTAACTTCATCATGTCGCTTTTTGGCTGTCGGTGTGCGCGCGCAGCGTATAACTTTTACTATGATATTTTTTTCCAAACGTGCCAAAA